ATATATATACACACACACCACATCTTCTTTATCCATTCATCCATCGATGGACATTTGGGCTCTTTCCATACTTTGGCTATTGTGGATAGTGCTGCTATAAACATGGGGTGCATGTGTCCCTTCAAACAGCGCACCTGTATCCCATGGATAAATCCCTAGTAGTGCAATTGCTGGGTCGTAGGATAGTTCTATTTTTAGTTTTTTGAGGAACCTCCATACTGTTTTCCAGAGTGGCTGCACCAGCTTGCATTCCCATTAACTTCTCTTAATTTTTTTAGTACTTTATAAATACTAGTCACAGTTTTATGTGGTAAGAAATTTAGAGGCCATAACTTTTTGTCATATTTGAATATTTTATATGCTATGATGCTTACCAATTATTGTTACTGAGGATGAAAAATTGAAAATAAATTGCCAGGTAAAAATGAAGAAGTGTTGGGATTAGAATCTTATTTCTGGAGAGTTGTAGAAAATAATTTGGTGAAGATAGTGTAAAATAACTTCCAAAGACCGGTAATAAAAAATATTGCCAAATCTGAAATACAAAGTTTGGTTACCAGGCTTTTCTACAGAAAAAAAATGAATTGCTCTGCCTTGCAAATCAGTTATTACTATTCACTGATATGTTTTATTTATTTGTTTATTTAGGGAGGACACAAGTGAGCCAGGGACAGAGGGAGAGAGAGAGAGAGAGAAGTGGGGCTCATGTTTTACCTGAAGCGGGGCTTATGCTCACCTGAAGCGGGGCTCAAGCTCATCTGAAGGGGGTCTTGAGCTCACCCAATTTGGGACTCAAACTGTGAGATCGTGACCTGAGCTGAAGTCAGATGCTTAACAACTGAGCCACCCAGGCACCCTGATGTGTTTTATAATGTTAGTTAAATACATAGATCCATCAGTCAAATCATCCATCTTATTGGTTCATATTATTTTTCTTTTCATATAGGGCATGAAGACTGTGTACGAGGTTTAGCAATTTTGAGTGAAACAGAATTTCTTTCCTGTGCAAATGATGCTAGTATTAGAAGGTGGCAAATCACTGGCGAGTGTCTTGAAGTATATTATGGACATACCAACTATATTTATAGCATATCTGTTTTTCCAAATTGTAAAGGTAAGATTAGCATATATCATGTATTTAAAATTCTGTATTGAACCTTGTTCCATCCCATTCTTGAGGTGGGGGTAGGAGGGCTCATTACCGAAATCAGTTTACTAACTGTACTTGAATAATTTAGTAGCTATGTTTCATAAGGATCTTCTTGTAAAGGAAGAAATTGTGTTATCATCTTTATATCTTTCACACTTGATGGTTAATGTCAAATAGTTTTGGGTATTTGAGGAAACACTTTGTATAATTTATTGGTGCAAAGTGCATAATATGTAAGGTGTGAAATGTAGAAAATATGATTTTTGAAGTTTTTGTGGTATAAGTAACAAATAAATAAAATGTAAAACTATAATTTTAAAATATTTTGGGTTTAAAAAAGTCATTATGCCTCCCTAGAAAGGTGATATTTATAAATGTACTTAATTTTATTTGTTCAAACTAGTTTTTCCTATATTCATTGATTTTAGATTTTGTGACAACGGCAGAAGACAGATCTCTGAGAATCTGGAAACGTGGGGAATGTGCCCAGACAATCCGACTTCCAGCTCAGTCTATATGGTGCTGCTGTGTTCTAGCCAATGGTGACATTGTGGTTGGTGCGAGGTATTTATATTCTAGTCAGTCAATAAATATCATGTGTCTAGGCCTTTGGTAGGTGTTAAGAGTGCACTGAGATAAGCCATAAGGAACTTTAGGTGAATTGGGAGACATTTCAGTACATTTCTGTACTGAAAAAACAGCATTAGGCATAAGAGCTTTTATACATTAATGGTACATGATACAGTACAAAAGTATTGCTCTGCCAGTTGTGCAGTCAGAATGTCGAATGCAAAAGAAACTGGAGAAGGTAGAGATTAGTGTGGGAAACCTTTATGAAGAAGAGGAAATTTGAATTGAATGTTGAAAAATAATGAGAAAGAAGGGAAATGAGAATTTCTGTCAAAAAAAAAAAAAAAAAAACAACAGTGTAAGTAAAGGTGTGGCAGGACCAGGAAAGTGATTTGTGGGGCAGATGAAGGAAAGTGGTGGAAGACTCATGCTAGGGAATAGTGGGGGATACTGGTAAGGTGGTAAAGGCAGTAGGGTGGAGCATAACCGTGGACAGCCTTGAATGCCAGGTATCTTTTAGAGTCTGTGCTTGGAGTAAAGGGTTGTAGCTACTGAAGTGACATGAATAGAGCATAACCTGTGAATTATTAACTATGTAGGTTGGATTTAACTAGTGGTGATGGCAGGAAAGCAACTTGGAAAGCAGTTCCGGTAGTAGGGGTGTGATGTTATGAAATACTGTCCCCACGGTGCCAATGGACAAGAGGCCAAAATATTAGATATTGCAAAGGAAAGATTGTCAAAAGGAGGATAAAAGAAAACTGTAAAGCTTCAAGCTTTTGGTGATTGCATTAATATAATGGGGAAAGTGGGAGAATTGGTTAGGTGCAGAAGATGACAACCTCAGTTTTAGATTTCTGAGGTCCGAGTGGTGATGAACCACCCTCGAGCCGGTGGATCTGGCATGGAAGGCAGAAAAGAAAGAAAGGAAAACCTCTAAGGGGTGGTGAGTCTAATAAAGCGGAGGTAGTTTACATTTTGGCTGGGTCAAGGGTTGATTTGTTGATTTAATTATTTTCCCCCTAAGCATATTTAAAGTTAAAGAAAATAAACAATTTGAAAGGGTAAAGTTCCTGTCAGTCAAAGGTTACATAAGAAACAAAGTTCTCTGTAGAACGGGGCAGGATTAGTGCATTTGAAGGTGGCCAACTTGCCTCCTACCCGAGAATTTAGAAATGGTGGAAGTGAAGTCATGTGCCAAGACTAGAGGTTGGGATTGCCATCTAGTCTAAGGTGAGGCTTTTTTTTCATGAGTGGGATTACATTGCTGGTTAAGGGCATAGGAAACACAGACTGTGTTTCCCAAATGAACAGATACTGAGCATCTGCTATTTTCTAAGCTTTATGTTGGTTATTTGAGCCCTTTGTAAATAAAATAACCCACTACCCTTCTTTATACTCTTGTATCTATGTAATATTGACTTAAATTGTATGTTATAGCTCCAGATTTTTATGATGGTAAATATCTAACTTGGAATTCAAAATTGTGTTAGATACATATTTCTCTGTCTTTTCTCAGTGACTTTTCCCTTAAATAATCTTTTTCTACCCTATAGATGGCTTTAGAAAGCAGCATAGGATAGTGTGTGAAGTCAGCAGAGTGCTCTCTCTACTCAGCCATAAATACATAGTAATGTTTCTCATATTCACAAATACAGATTATTTTTGCTTTGGATCATTCAGGTGGGATAATGTTAATACAATATGGTAGTGACTTCAGATCACTTTGTTTTTCCTTATAGTGATGGTATTATTAGAGTGTTTACGGAATCAGAGGATCGGACAGCAAGTGCTGAGGAAATCAAGGCTTTTGAAAAAGAACTCTCTCAGGCAACCATTGATTCTAAAACCGGTGATTTAGGGGACATTAATGCTGAGCAGCTTCCTGGGAGGGAACATCTGAATGAACCTGGTAAATATTTCAGTGTATATAGTAGTAAAAAATACTACCCTGTTTGCCTTTGGTAATAATTAGAATGATAAGAAAAACAAGTTTGTTTTGCTAGTCATTAAGTGTTATTCTCATTGCCAGATAGGGATTTTTTAGAACTTTTACACTTAACCACTATGAGAAACCATATTCTTGCTTCTTTCTGTTTCACATTTTGAGCTTAACTCCTTAAAGAAGAATCTTCATTTTTGTTTTAAATCCATCTCCTGATACCTAGCTCGTATATAATGGGTACACAAAAGTCACTTCTTTAATACCTTTTGGTTGATTGGGTTCCCTGAGACACACTGTATAGACTAAAAATAAAAATGAGTTCAAAGAAAGCAGTGTCTCCTTAATGAGTTGGGGATCATTTGAGTTTAAACCAGAGGACAGTAGTTATTTCAAATGAAATCTTGTGTTTGATATATCCCTGATCCATTATATCATTGGTTCTTAGAACCTGGTACATGGACCCCTGGGAATATTGAGATTCCTTCAGGATGTCCTTAAGGTCCAACTAATTTAATAATACTAAGCTGTTATTTGACTTTTCCACTATGTTAACATGGTCTGTGTTAACTTATGGTCCAAAAGCAATGCTGGGTAAAACAAACAAACAAACAAACAAACAAACAAACACAGGCTTCTTAGTACACAAATCAAGGCAGTGACACCAGACTGTTCTGGTAGTTATTGTGCTCTTCACTGGCATGCAGTTGTAGTTAAAAAAAAATGAAAACCATTTGCCCATAAAAATGTGCTTGAGGAAGCATTAACAATTAATTTACTACCTCTCGAGGCTTTATTACATGTCTGTTTTAATATTCTGGTTGACAAAATGTCAACACATAAAGTACTCCCGAGTACCATGGTGTCTCTGGGATAAGTACAAACATTCATTTGCATTGCGGGCTGAACTTTTCATGGAGTGCCATATTTATTCATAGAAGTAACTATGGTTATTTAAGCTTGGGTTTAGCTTAAAAAGCAAGACTTTTTTTGAAAATTAGCAAAATGACCATGTCACTTTAAGGAAAACAGCTGACAGTATTTATTGCTAAAGATAAAATTCAAAACTCTCAAATGAATATTGAAATTTTGGAAAATTTGTATTTATTACCAGGAGCTTGTAAGATAGACCAGTGCATTTTAGTATTTAATAGAGCCTGAAAAATGCACTGATGGTTGCAGATTCTAAATTGTAACCTTTAAAGACCTACTACTTTGTAGAATATTCACATTTTTCTGAAAAAGCTGTTAAACTAGTCTTTTCTTTTTCAACTATGTTATCTGTGTAAGGTTGGATTTTCTTTATATACTTCAAATAGAACAACAGATTACAACAGATTGAATGCAGAGGCAGGTATGATAATCCAGCTGTCTTCTATTAAGAGAGACAATAAAGATTTATAAATACAAAACAATGTCAGTCTTCTCAGTAAGTTTCTAAAGCTATTCTTATTTTTCATATTATTTATTCAATATGTAATAGATCTATTATTGTTTTCCATTAAGTGAATTTTTTTTACTCTTTATTTTTAATTTCAAATCCAATAAGTCAATTCATATAACCTACATAAAAATAGTCATGAGTAACTTTCATGACTATTATAAGGAGATCTTAAAATCAGAAGTTTGAGAACTAATGTATCGTATTGTCATGTTTTTAATATTCTTACAATTCTTTGCAAAAATGTAGTCTTTTTGTCACTGTATACACACACACACACACACACACATTCAGTAAGTATTTCCTAAGTGCCCAATGTGTGCCAGGCATTGTTCTAAGCTTTGGGGAATACAGCAAATATAAAAGGTTACAAATATCTCTGTTCTTACAAATTTATACTCTATAGGAGACAAATTAAAAAGTAAATAAGTAAATATATAAGTATGTCAGATAGTGATAAGTACTGTGGGAAACAAAGCAGGAGTTGGGTGTTTTGTAATTTTAAATACAGTGTTCAGGAAATATATAATATTTGGTATTGCATTAGTTGCTATTATAGATAAACTAAAATCTCACTGACTTAATACAAGAGTTTATTTGTTGCACATTCAAAGTTCACTTGATGACACAGTATATTAGCTATGTTTGGGGAATTTTTATCTGTTTCTGGGGTTTGTTTGTTTTATTTTAGAGAGTGTGCACATGAGCGGAGGAGAGGAGCAGAGGGGAAAGAGAGAATCTTAACTAGCCTCCACACTCTGTGGGAACCCAATGCAGGACTTGATCCCATGACCCTGGGATCGTGACCTGAGCCGAAATCAAGTTGGTTGTTCAACCAACTGAGCCACCCAGACACCCCATCTTGAGCATGTTTGTAGAGCAGTTTTTCTCCTTGTGGTCATTTGGGGATGGAAACCACCATCACCATGTAGCTTCCAAGGGCTTCTTGGGTAGAGACATTCAGCCATCAGACAGGATAAAAGGGGAGGTTAGAGGAAGATCGACTAGGCCTAGAACTGGCACATAGCATACCCATTCAGATTGCACAGACCATTTCTCAGTAAGTGGCATCTAGACACTGCACCTGGCTGTAGCCACAGCTACATCTCTACCCTATGGAGTAGGATTGTGAATCTCTGGAGGACAGCTGCCTATTTCTGCCACTGAAGGCTTTGCTGAGAATGTGACATTCAAGTAAGTTCTTAAGGAGGCAAGAGAGTAAATCTTGCCAACATCTGTGTGAAGAGTGTCATGGGCAGAATTAACAGCCAGTGTAAAGACTCCAGGGCTAAAGTCCGGAGATGGGTTGAGGGGAGAAGTGCAAAGTGAAGACAGAGGGGATGATAGATTTGGCCTTGTACACTACTCCAAGGACTTAGGCCTTGATCAAGAGAGATGGGAAGTCATTGAAAGGTCTCGAACAGAGGAGTGTCAGGGACAGTTTAACCTTTGAAAGAATTTTTATGGTTACTGGATTGAATATAGACTGTAGGGAGCCCCAGGGCAGGAGTAGAAGGCCATTAAATCAGTCCAGCCGAGAAACGTTGAGTGGCTTGTAGCATTGGGTAGCAATGGAGATAGAATAGATAGTTTTTTTGACCTTTTTTGAAGATGGAACTGATAGAGGGGCACCTGGTTGGCTCAGTCAGTTAAGCATCCAACATCAGCTCAGGCAATCATCAGGTAACCACAGTTAGTGGGTTCGAGCCCTGTGTCGGGCTCTGTGCTGACAGAGAGCTCAGAGCCTGGAGACTGCTTCAGATTCTGTGTCCCGCTCTCTCTTCCCCTCCCCTGCTTGTGCTCTGTCTTTCTGTCTTTCAAAAATAAATGAATGTTAAAAAATAAAAAAAAAAAAAAAAAAAAAAAAAAAAAAAAAAAAAGACAGAACTATAGAATTTGCTAAGGGTTTGGCCATGGGATTCAGAGAAAGACGAATCAGACTCTTCTATACTTTTTGGCCTGAGCAGCTGGAAAAATGGAGAGTCGTTTATTAAAATGAAAGTGTTGTCAGAAAATAGTAATAAAACTTATTTTTAGTGGGCCAGCTACTTTCTAATGGAAATACACCTTTTTTTCTTTCCTTTATTTAATAAAGGTTACTTTTGTCTTTTGAGACACTTTCCAGTAGAGTAACTTTTTTTTTTTTTTTTTTTTTAGTGTTTGTTTATGTTTTGAGAGAGTGCACACATGAGTGGGGGAGGGGCAGAGAGAAAGGAAGAGAGAATTCCATGCAGGCTCTGTGCTGTCAGTGCAGAGCCTGACATGGGGCTCAAACTCATGAACCATGAGATCTTGATCTGAGGAGCAAAACCAAATCCCAGATGTTTAACTGATGGAGACTTTTAATAAAATTTCCAGTTAAACCAAATACATAAAGTTAAGATTTTTTAATCTGTGTCTTTCATTTTTACTCTGCTTTTCTACTTTTGATTCTTAACATTTTTATTTTAAGGTACTAGAGAAGGACAGACTCGTCTAATCAAAGATGGGGAGAAAGTCGAAGCCTATCAGTGGAGTGTTAGCGAAGGGAGGTGGATAAAAATTGGTGATGTTGTTGGCTCATCTGGTGCTAATCAGCAAACATCTGGAAAAGTTTTATATGAAGGAAAAGTATGTCAATTTCTACTTTCTAATTACCATTATCTTAAAGCATTAGACAAAGGTTTTCTTTTCCCTTTTCCCCATGCTAATACAATTTTCTTTGGTGTTTTGCCATTTAAAAATACATTTCTCTGGGGAGGCTTCTCTCTTTTCCCTGCCTTGAAATTGACTTTTAAAAAATCTTTTTCCGTATTTGATACATTAGACACTATTTGTCTTTTGGTACTTACTGTGAGTAAACTGTTCCCAACCCTTTTAGATTAGGAGCTTCTGTGCCACCTTCCAGCCAATGCTTTCTGCCTCGTTATATTTAACTTGGCAGGACATGAGGGCCCCTGTGTGGCAGTGCTTATAACACCAGCATGTTTTGCTGAGTGGGGCATGGTAACAGCTAATACTTCTGGCCTTGAGATCAACCAGTTGGAAACCTTCCTTTGGCCTTAGAATTTATGTGTAGTTGTAATACATTCCCCTCCTCCATCCCCAGTGAAATACTGACCTTGCAGCATATGCAGATGGTTGCTATCAATCATCACATGCCAAGTGGAAGATTGTAACATTGCACTTTGGAGAAAGTTTAAGGATTATAATTTTATTATAAAATGTTTATATAAATATATTTGTTATAAATAAATATATTTATTATAACTTTATAAAATAAAGGACACATAAGATCTGTGATATATATGCCATTAATATGAACAGATAAGTTAGTAATCATTTATCTCCTTTTTGTATTCCTGTTGAAGGAGTTTGATTATGTTTTCTCAATTGATGTCAATGAAGGTGGACCATCGTATAAATTGCCATATAACGTCAGTGATGATCCTTGGTTAACTGCATACAACTTCTTACAGAAGAATGATTTGAATCCCATGTTTTTGGATCAAGTGGCTAAATTTATTATTGATAACACGAAAGGTCAAACCTTAGGACTTGGGAACACCAGTTTTTCAGATCCTTTTACAGGTAAGTTTACGGTTTATATTAAGTCTTCTGTACTTAATTCATTGGTTAATTTTTTTTAAGTGTATTTAAACATCTGTTATCATAAGCTGTTTAAATTAAAACGAAGATCCGAGATCTATAGCAGGTTTTTACTTTAAATCATATTTTAAACCTCAAATTATATAGTAATTCTGTGTTTATAGAAACAATTCTATATTGCTCACTTTCAAAAATATAGCCACACTGTAACTAAATAAAATTACGAAACTTCAGTCATTTGAAATGAAAATAAACCTGGAAGTTCCCTTATATAGTGACTCTTTAAAAATACCTGTTTTGGTGAACCTTAGTAAATAGAATTTTTTTTTTCCACACAAGGCTAAATTGGTTAGTTGGGCATAAATCTAGGACTGAACTATGGGTAGTTTTTTGTTTTGTGGGTTTTTTTTTAATGTTTGTTTATTTATTTATTTATGTTTGTTTATTTTTATTTTTGAGAGAGAAAGACAGAGCATGAGCAGGGGAGAGGCAGAGAGAGAGAAGGAGACACAGAATCCAAAGTAGCCTCCAGGCTCTGAGCTGTCAGCACAGCCTGACATGGGGATTGAACCCATGGACCACAAGATCATGATCTGAGCTGAAGTTGGATGCTTAACCAACTGAGCCACCCAGGCACCCCTATTTATTTATTTTTGAAAGAGAGAGTAAGCAAGGTGGGGACAGAGAAAGAGAGAGAGACAGAATCCCAAACAGGCTCCATGGTGTCAGCACAGAGCCTGACGTGGGGCTCGAACTCACAAACCACGAGATCGTGATCTGAGCTGAAACTAAAGTCAGTCACCTAACCGACTGACCCACCTAGGCGCCGCTGAACTGTGGGTAGTTTTAGTTTACATGTGATTTGTATTCCACATGTTGATTTTTAAGTTGGTCGTTCATAACATAGTATACAGTATCTAAAATGTTATAAATGATATTAGGTTCTCAGACCAGTCCATAAATGATAATCCTAGTAGTATTAGTCTGAGTCCTGATTCATAGGAAATGAATTATAATACTAATTGTACTCACCTTAGTTTTGGGTCCCAGGAACTGAGACCATGGTACAGGAGACAATAAAATGCTTCCTTTTTTCTTAGGTACAAGGGCCAGCTCTAAATAAAATTCTGAAATTAGCACTTTATTGTTAATGTTTTCCTGTTGTCATTTTTCATGTGCTAGTGCTCTTGTTTTATAAAGATTCCATATCCCTTCCTGCACTAAGACCTTATGTAGATCTTTTTTTCTTCTTCTTTCACATACTTCATGCTCCTAAACTATCTCCTCTCCTTCTTGTTCTTTTGCCCACTCACCTAATAAAGCGAATGTCAACCTGCATGTTGACTTAAACAGAATTATCACACTGACTTGCTACTGAATCTAAATAATGTAACCCCTCCCAGTAGTTGCACTTGACAGGAAAAAAAAACCTGTGTTTATTGTCTGGGTATTCTGTTGGTGGAATTTCAGACTGTAGTACAAAAGACTGAACACATAATTATAGTCCTGTGTAAGCTGTTTTGTGGAGCAGAAGGCAGAAATTAGAGCAGCTGGCTCCATTTGGAAATCTTAATAACTGTGGCTTTTTTTGCTCTTCTGAAACTATAAGCATCTTTTTATATATATATCTTTCACATATATCTTTTTGTAGATGCCTCTGATTAGTTTCCTAGAGATACTAACACAACATACACTCACACACACCACACATTTGTAAAAGTGTAAGTGGAAATCTCTTTCCTTTGTGTCACTCATCACCTTTCAGTTCTCTTCTCCAGTAGGTTGTAAGCTTCAGTGGATACAAGCAATCTTATTCTCTGCTGGATCTGCGCTATTTGACATATGAGTTAATGAACTCAGGGGTTCTTTAAAAGATTACCATTTGATGACTGTGGTTCTGTTAGCAACAGGAACAGTGGGAATTCTAGTGAATTTGTATAGGAACAGCAACTGATTATATGTGTATATTATTTAGGTTAGAGACCACCTGTAATTTCTCCTTTTATATTTGAATTTTTAGTGATTTTAATATTTAAGTGCACAAGCTAAGATATAATACAGCAATAAAGACAAAACTTGGAGAATCACTGAAATGTTAATTTCTTAGTAGTCTTTTCCTACTGTAAGGCTTCTAATTTGTTATTCTGTCATGTGATGGCTTTGCTCTTTTGTTTTTTCTCCAAGCTTAGAGTCCTCTAATGTAAGCACTGTGCCATTTTTGAGATTCAAAATTCTGGCTTGGGGAGCCTGAGTGGCTCAGTCGATTAAGCGTCCGACTTCAGCTCAGGTCATGATCTCACAGTTTATGAGTTCGAGCCCCGCATTGGGCTCTGTGCTAACAACTCAGAGCCTTCATGAAGCCTTCTTCGGATTCTGCATCTCTCTGTCTCTCTCTCTCTCTCTCTCTCTCTCCCTCTCTCTCCCTCTCTCTCTCTCTCTCTCTGCCCCTCCCCTGTTCACACTCTGTCTCTCTCAAAAATGAATAAACATTAAAAATTTTTTTTCTTTTTTAAATTCTGTCATACTTCAGCTTTTCCTTTGTTTGCACGCACAGGTGGTGGTCGGTATGTTCCAGGGTCTTCATCAGGATCTGCTAACACGCTGCCTGCGGCAGATCCTTTTACAGGTGGGATGCAGTTTCAATAAGTACATCTTTTTTCACTTACTGTGTAACATTTTGCATTGTATGGCTTTACATTTTGGAGATATCATCCAATTATTAATAATTCCCTTATCTATATTTCTAATTTTGATGGATCTCCTTTTCTTTAACTTCTAATTTTTGCCTTTTCCTGGAGTATTTTGTAGTTTTCCTCATGACTTTTAAATAGCATATTATTAGAACTCATCGTTTTCTCCAGTGGTCCTTCCTGCAAGGAGAGCAAGAGTCAGTAAGGGCATAGGTTTTAGAGTCAGATAGACCTTGGTTCAAAATCTGGCTCTACCACTTACTTGCTATGAGAAGTTGGCAAGTTGCTTAACCTGTCTGAGCCTATTTTTTTTATCTGTGAAATTAGATAATAGGGGAACCCACCAACCAAGACACAGCATGATTGCTATTACTGGCGAGATCCTACCGATCACAAGCCAAGAAGGAGCCATGTGAGTCCCTGATATTGGATGGAGCGGTGCAGTCAAGAAGTCTGTCTGGGCATATTTTGCCTTAGCAAATGAAGGAGACAGTCCACCCAGCTACCCAGGATTAGTCTTCTAATCTGTTATTAATGGCCTTCGTGATGCCCTGGAAGTGTTGGTGTATCTCTTCAAAGTGACTTTATTTACCAAGGTATGCATGCCTCAGCATCAACACTACTGGGAAAATAATTGCCAAACTTGGACTTAAGTGCAGCTGAAGAAGTCTCTGTTTTCAGAACAGCTTTTGATATATTTCATGAAGCTGTGGTTGGATCTTCAGCCAGAGTTCCTGGACAATAGACCAAATTTGGGAAGAGATCCTTGGCATTTATGGTATCCACTGGCCTTGCCAAGATACAGTCCTGTCTAAACCATAAATTGGAGCAGCACACAGCCTTTGGTCACTGTCAATGAATTTGTGAATCGCTGTCAGTGAGCTTCTTCTCTCCAGTGAATGAATTGGTGGCCCAGTTGTACATAGCTGCACCCTGTGCATTGATAACCAGTAAACTGCACTAACCACCTATCAAGATCAAGCTAAATGTTGTGATGGCACAGTGGCTGTTAAGGAAATCTTTGATGACATAATGCAATTTGAAAAAGTAGTAACGATATGAAGCGTAGATAAGATGATGACTTATTCAGACATAGTGATGCCCTAAAACTTAGAACATCATAGTTCCCGGATCTCATTAGCAGCTTTTTCTTGGAACAGAAAGAACATACCAAGCTTCGAACAATACCAACAAAATCAAGAGAATTCCTGGGGCCATCATAGCTGGAGTATGTCTCACTGTTGCATAATGTCAGTAACTCAGAAGATGCAGTGATTATGGAAATATGCAAGATAGCATACTAAACATCCAAGAGAATTATGGAATTAGGATAACTGAACCACACTATTATAAAAAATAGATAACCATATTGAGATGTTAGGGAAATGAAATGGTATGGTACATGTAAAGTGTTTAGCAGAATGCCTGGACTGTATTTAAGCCCTCGGTAGATTTTAGTATACATTCCTCCAATTTTACCAGTAGCACTGGGGCCAAGAGTTTTCCCCATCTAGCTTATGATTTAAGGTCAGTCTTGATTCTTTTTTTTTTTTTTTCCCTTATTTATGTGGTTCCCAAACTTCTAATGCCAATTAGAATCATCTGGGATGCTTGTTTAAATTATCAAAAGGTCCTTCACACAGAGATATTCTGATATACTAGATTGGTGAGGAGGTTAAAAATACTCATGCCCTGATCCCTCACCCATGGATTCTGATTAAATGTTCTTTGCTGTGGTTTGCTATTAAGTAATTTCAAAAGCTCCCTGTCAGTTTCTACAGTGAAGCCAGTTTGGAGAACCACTAGGCTGTTATGGGTGGACCCTGAAAATCTACATATTGAATAGGTGACTCCTTCAGGTTGTTGGAGAACCACATTTAGAAAAGTGTAGGATTGGGATGCCTGGGTGGCTCAGTCAGTTAAGCGTCTAACTCATGATTTTGGCTCAGGTCATGATCTCAGGGTCGTGAAATTGAGCCCTGTGTTGGGCTCCACAGTGGATGTGGAGTCTGCTTGAGATTCTCTCACTCTCCCTCTACCCCTGCCCCCTACTTGCATACTCACTCTGTCTCTCTCTCTAAAAATAAATGAATAATAATAATAATAACAAGTGTAGATTTACTTTGCCTCATAATTAATGCCTTGGGCAAGTTATTTAGCCTTTTTGTAAAATATTGTTAATAATAATAGTATCTAATTAATATTTAAATGCATATATAAACATAAGATGCTTAGCATACTAGCTAGCATATTAATAAAAACTCAAAGCCTCTTATTCTGTGTTCTTCATTATTTTAATTAATCTATTTACATCTGCAGTTTTTGTTTTTCATTTTTTGTTTTGTTTGCTTTTCTGTATGTATTACACCCATTGTACCGACTCCTAGATATTAAATTCGGAGGGGTTAGAACAGTAGCTTATCTTTATTCATCCTATAAAGGCTGACCCAGGACTCTGAACATCTTCAAATCCTGCTGATTCTTTCTCTACATTTGTTTCTCATGTTCCTTTCTTTGTATTTTCAATGAGACATCCACAAGTAGGATCTCAGATGTGCGACAGAGCTATTTTCATACCATCTCTAAATCTTATATTATCTGTTTTTTGCTTATGTGCTAGTTAATCCTCTGTCTCTATTTCAGTAGGATGGTGTTCACATTTATTTTTTTTTTCTTATTTTTGTTTTTTTAAGATTTTCTTTTTGAATAATCTGTACATCCAATGTGGGGCTCAAATTTACAACCCGAGATCAAGAATTGCATGCTCTACCAACTGAGCCAGCCAGGTGCCTCACATTCACATTTCATTATGGAAACCTTGTAATTTCTTCTCTCCAATCCACTAATGCTTTTTCACTTCATTAGCTTCTGTAATTATAATGTATAAGGCATCTAATGTTTACTTTGTAACTTGAGAATTTTAAGTCTCACAATTATTGGCACCAACTATATGTCAGGTAATGTTCTCAACATTTTTCTGTATTAAATTTACAGCCCGTTTATTATATATATAAGATACCATTCTGGGGTGCCTGGGTAGCTCAGTCAGCTAAGAGTCAGACTTTGGCTCAGGTCATGATCTCATGGTCCATGAGTTCAAGCCCTGCATCGGGCTCTGTGCTGACAGCTCAGAGTGTGGAGCCTGCTTCAAATTCTGTGTCTCCCTCTCTGCCCCTCCCCCACGCAAGCTCTGTCTCTCTTTCTCTCTCTCAAAAAAATAAACATTAAAAAATTTAAAAAGAAAGTGGCGCCTGGGTGGCTCAATTGGTTGAGCGTCCAACTTCAGCTCAGGTCATGATCTCACAATCTGTGAGTTCGAGCCCCGCATCAGGCTCTGTGCTGACAGCTCAGAGCCTGGAGCCTGCTTCAGATTCTGTGTCTCCCTCTCTCTCTGATCCTCCCCCGTTCATGCTCTCTCTGTCTCAAAAATAAATAAACATTAAAAAAAAAATTTTAAAAAGATGCCATTCTAAGGTGTGACTCCTAATGACAGTAAGTTATCGTGTGTAGAGAGCAACATTTTGAACTTTATAATTTGCAGTTACCTTTGCTTACTAGATGTATTTAATTGCATTTTAGGCAGTGGTCGTTATGTGCCAGGGTCTGCCAGTATGGGGACTACCATGGCTGGAGCTGATCCATTTACAGGTACATACTTTTCATTTCCTTTTCTTCTTCCCTTTTGTTGCTAGAGAACTTTTCATATGGTAGATCAAGACCAAACTTCTTGACCTGGCTTTTAGAGCGTTCTCAGAATTGTGTCATAGTGCATATTTAACTCACGTAGGAAACTTTAAAAAAGTACTTCAACCTCATCCCCAGAGGTGTTCACTTGGTCTGTTACTGCTGTGCGTTGGGGCCTTGGCAAGGGTAGTTTTTATAATCTTATAATGTGATTCTAATGTGTGGCCAGGATTGAAAACTGCTATTCTGCTCTTATAGGTCGGGTTTTCTCACTACCCTTATAAAAACTGAGCTTATTCGTCTCTCTCCTTTGTTTGTTCTTAATGTTTTGAGAATTTTAGTCACTATGCTAAATATTATTCTGCTTAACAGGACTTAAAAAACAAATCTGATTTTGTGATTTAGGCCTATGCTATTTGGCCTTCTCCTAAGCAATTAATTTTTCTTTTTATTCTTAGTATCTAGCCCAGAGTCTGACACATCTTACTTGTTCATCATTGTTGAATATAGGCAGACCTGCTTTCCTTTGTAAGGGCTGCTAGTAAAATGCAGAACTAAACTGTAAACCTCTTGCAAGTTTGACAGCTCTCTTTGACATATATTTTCCCCTACTTGTTATTTTCTACAAGAGAATAATATATGTATGACACATATGTTCTTGACCATAATAAAATGTATACTTATAAACCCGGCACTCTACTTAAGAACTAACTTGGTATATGATTTTTGTAAACTATTTTTTCATTGCAAAAGTAACACTGGCTGGTAGTTTTGAAGTAGATCATAGCGGACGAGAATGCTTCAATTCAGATCTCAATTTCACTACTTTCTACCTGTTTTACTATGAGCCAATTACTCTGTTTCTGTGCCTCTGTTTTTCTCATTTGTAAAGTTGAAGTAATATCTACCTCTTGGAGTTGTTAAGAGCTTAAAATGACAATATATGTAAATCACTTTATACAGAATAAATGCTTAGTAATTGTCAGCTGTACCTATTGCATTATAAAAGAGTCTAAAGTTAACAGTGCTGGGTGGCTCAGTTAAGTGTTCGACTCTTGATTTCGGCTCAGGTCATGATCCCAGGGTCATGGGATCGAGCCCCGTGTTGGGCTCCATGCTGAGCGTGGAGCCTGCTTGAGATTCTGTCTCTTTCCCCCTCTGCTCTTCTTTGCGCATGCTCTCTCTTTAAAAAAAAAAAAAAAATTAATTAAATTAAAAAAAACTTTTAAAGTATGAGAGATGTAGAGAATATGAAATGGAGAGGCTTTGTTTTACATTTAAGCTCCCATTCCAGAAACTAAAATTTATTATATCAACAAATATAAATAGTATATAAAATCTTACGATTTTTCTTTCTTTTTTCTGAAGTGCTTGTTTTATTGCATGCACTGAATAGTTATGTATCTCAATAATTGTAAAAACAAAGTCATAGAGTTAGAAAAAAATCTCATTTTTGATTATTCTTTATGTTTTTCATCATCGTTTGTTCTGTGAATAGGCAATAGTGCCTACCGATCAGCTGCATCTAAGACGGTGAATATTTATTTCCCTAAAAAAGAGGCTGTCACTTTTGACCAGGCAAACCCTACACAAATATTAGGTAAGTGCATTTTAATTAAAAAGTTTTTTCACATATCCATAGACTTCTGTGTAGTGCAGTCAAGGCTGTTCTTCTCACATGAGCTAGGAACTGGGTGCTTACGTGACAGAGACTTCTGTTATTACACCACTGTGTCTACTACAAATACGCAGTCTCATAATGGACGCTTAATACTTGCAAGATGCCTTATATAAATATTGAAGTTAATGCTTTATGATGCTTTTATTGATAAAAAAACTAAAGGGGAAATCTAAATCCCATCCCCTAAGCTCTTAATGTTTTCAGGAAAAGAAAATAATGAAAATGAATGAGTAAAGCACTTAAAAATAAAGATTATGCCTTTAAAAAATTAGTGGCCTTTAGAAATCATAATAAAAGGCTGTTCAGATTGCCCATTAAAAATGAAACTGCCAGCTGACTTTGATAGCTTTTTCTGTTAACTCATTTCTCTCAAAATAAAATGGCAGGTGGCTTTGGACTAAATACTACTAGCTCTGTTTGCCATTACTACCTCATGAGAATTAATTGAGATAAGATAACATATACATCTCAGTATAAGATATGGGTGTTTTGATCAGAATTAACTTTCATACTATCTGTATAAAAACCATTAGTAAGTACTTTCTTACTTATTTTGAACAATACACATTCTCTTCCTTTTGCATCCCTTAAATAAACTTTGTTTTCAATATTCTGTTAGTGTTAAAATTTTTAATGCCAAAGGAAAGTGAAAGAGGTCAAGTTTCCAGTTATGATTGATAAAAACCTGTAAATTTGGACAATTTAAGCTTTTTGTGATGGGAACTTGAGCTTTTTTATTCTTTATAAGATTTTTGATGGGATGCCTGGTTGGCTCAGTTGGTAGAACATGAGACTCTTGATCTCATGGTGATGAGTTCAAGCCCTCTGTTGGGAATAGAAATTACCGAAAAAGAAAAAAAAAAAAAAGATTCTTGAGGAAGCAGTGTTGGATGACTCAAAGTAGCATTAGTGATGACAAGGATGCTAATATTGAAGATGCAGGTAAAGGGCTTAAAAAAATTGTTTCATGAAATGTAAATATGGTGACAAAAGGCAGTATTTGCATTAAAGAGGTTTTTAAAGTAATGTCAAATATGCATATGGAACTAAGTCAATAAATTAAATATTATACACATTTAACTCTTCAGTTATTTCATTGACAATCATAGAAGTAACATAAGTTGGCCAAAAGTCGTTATAAATTTTTCTTTGAGAATATAGAGGATTGACTTATAGTTGGTTATAAGGATGATACTGCTTTGAAAGCCAAAATGATTACAAGTATCTACTTTAAAACTCACTTGAAGCAGAAAGCCTCATAAGATCTTAGAAAATAATAAGTAAAATAAAAATCACCACAGTAACCTTTCATTTTTCTATAATGGGCTCAACTTAAAAATACTCCCAGGCCTTACCCTTATTTGACGGTCCTTGATAATTGCCATGAAAAGTCTCACCTCCCCATGATGTGTGGTAGAATTCTCTTATAGAAAATTTTGGCACTTTTGTATTACATCTGGCTAATTACAGTTAGAGAATTTTCAAAGTCTGGGTTTGTGTTCTAGGTAAACTGAAGGAACTTAATGGAGCTGCATCTGAAGAGAAGAAGTTAACGGAGGATGACTTGATACTTCTTGAAAAGATACTGTCTCTAATATGTAATAATTCTTCAGAAAAACCCACAGCCCAGCAACTTCAGATTCTGTGGAAAGCTATTTACTGGCCTGAAGGTATGGAAATGGTCTTTAAAATGTAATTAGAGGGGTGCCTGTGTGGCTCAGTCAGTTAAGCCTCCAACTTTGGCTCAGCTCATGATCTCATGGTCCATGGGTTCGAGACCTGCATCGGGCTCTGTGCTGACAGCTCAGAGCCTACAGCCTGACTAAGATGCTGTGTCTCCCTCTCTCTCTGTTCCTCCCCCGCTCACACTCTGTCTCCGTTTCTCAGAAATGAACAAAAAAGCACTAAAAACATTTTTTTAAATATGATTAGAAAACAAAGTATGTCTGTTCATTTCTGTCAGTATTACTGGTGTTTCCAGATTAAGTAAAAGTTACCCTGGTTACTTGTTATTCACATTGTGAGAAACTTCACAAAAAGGACTCACCACACCCCTGTAATTCATAGTCTTGATTTGTCACATGCCTTAGGAGAATCTGAAAGGAACGGCATGTACCATTTCGTATACTATTTCAGAGCATCTGTGGATCCCGGCAAGCCATCCAAGAGATGTTTTGTGACCTATTAACCCCAGGCTACAAACCTTTGCTATAATTTTGTTTTAACTCACTTAATACCTTTTAAATTCCAAAAGTGTCCTCTCCCTTATTATTTTTTCATGCTGTTGATTAGAGAAGAAAAATAATTTGTCCCACAAAATATCCATATTTTGGATTTGGGGTTCACTTAATGTGTTCCACTATGTCTATAGTTCCTGCTAGACATAATTAGATCCTGGTTCAATAGATTTTTTTTTTAAGTGAATATCCTTTATAAATGATGCCACATACTATCTTTATATCATAGGGCATATAATTTCTGGATTCCTTATTTTTAGTGATGTTAAGAAGATTATTGAGTGGCTACATTCAGATGGTGTCTGCCCAGTCTTTTGAATGTAAAGCTCTCCACCAATCTGTAAGCATGCTATTAGCATTTGTCAACTGGAATTCTGTAAAAAGCTTTTCTTCTTCAACTCTTTGGTCTTGTAGGATTTTTTAAAGCATCTTACATTACACGATTCATTCCGCAAGGATATATTGAGTACTCCATATGTGTCAGGCTGTTTGATAGCCCATTTAAATTATTTTTAAAGTGTACGTGATCTCATAGCAATAAATCCAGTCCCTATAAAAATGAAAAAGCAGTTAACACAAGTTTTAGAAATATATATATTACATAAAGCACGCACATGGCTTTTAACATTTTCTAAAATGAGCATGTGTTAATGAAGTAAGATTCTGAAAATTGAGTAACAGTCATAGGAATTTTCTGGGGTTTTATAAACATTAATGAATTTTTGTTTTTAACAGATATTGTCTTTCCTGCACTTGACATTCTTCGGTTGTCAATTAAACATCCCAGCGTGAACGAGAACTTCTGCAACGAAAAGGAAGGGGCTCAGTTCAGCAGTCATCTTATCAGTCTTCTGAACCCTAAAGGAAAGCCGGCAAACCAGCTGCTTGCTCTGAGGACTTTTTGCAATTGTTTTGTTGGCCAGGCAGGACAAAAGCTCATGATGTCCCAAAGGGAATCTCTAATGTCACATGCAATAGAACTGAAATCAGGGAGCAATAAGAACATTCACATTGCTCTGGCTACATTGACCCTGAACTATTCTGTTTGTTTTCATAAAGACCATAACATTGAAGGGAAAGCTCAGTGCTTGTCAGTAATTAGCACAGTCTTGGAAGTTGTACAAGACCTCGAAGCCACTTTTAGACTCCTTGTGGCTCTTGGGACACTTATCAGTGACGATTTAAATGCTGTACAGTTAGCCAAGTCTTTAGGTGTTGATTCTCAAATAAAAAAGTATGCCTCAGTATCAGAACCAGCTAAAGTAAGTGAATGCTGTAGACTTATCCTAAATTTACTGTAACAATGGGGACGGGAACTGAGATTTTAAATTGATTAGTGGTTTTTTCCCTCACGTTTTACATGACTGATTACAGATGTTAAAAAAAAAAAAAGGATGCTGTGGAATAAGTAAAATTTCAGATCTTGTAAAGTGGGGGAGGGTAAGAGGAGACAAAGAAGAAATAAAATTTTTGCACTGATGAACTGTGAGATTTTCCTGTGTGATGTGGGTAAGTTTTCAGGAGTTTAGAAACAAATTAAGAATGAGCTAAAATCAACAACAATGCAACTATTACAGTGGCATTAATGTACATACCTCTGCTGCATGAAAGAAGATAAGAGCTTTTATTTATATAATTTACTCTTGCTATTTATATAATACCCCCAAACTGTTTTACTTGTTGGTGATTGTCTTTTATTTAATTTCTGCTCTACTCACTTCCATTGCTGATTGTTTCAACAACCCCAATACAAAGTACGTTATAATTTTCAGAAATTAAGTTCTAAATTATTCCGTATATCCAAAAGATACAATTTATTCATTTAAGTTACTTGTAAATAGAAATTGTATTTGTTTGATGGCTTATTTTTTATTTTGAGACAGACAGAGTATGAGCGGGAGGAGGGGCAGAGAGAGGAGACAGAGTCCCAAGCAGGCTCCATCTCACAAACCACAAGATCACGACCTGAGCCAAAATCAAGAGTTGGACGCTTCACCTACTGAGCCACCCAGGCGCCCTGATGGTTCATTTTTACATGAAGGAAAAGCAACCTACTAAGCTGTGTTAGGTTGTGTATCACTTCAGATAGATGAGGCTATTAATTAACTCCAGGCTTGTGCTCCAGTTTCTTTTGCCCCTGTCTATTGGAGGTAACTTCATTATTCATTCCAGTTTTGAAATTAGTTCATTTTTGGTCATTTCCTTTGTCTCAAAAGGAATTTGGAATGTGTTGAGTTTTCGAAAGCATTTGTGCAAGCCAGAACCATGCTATTTACAAGTCCAGAGCCTATCATGTGAAACTTACTATTTTTGAGTTCTTAACACTGGCTAGGCACTGTGGTAACCACTTTGATATTTAATTCCCAAAACCTCTTAAATGGAGGGTGATGTTGTCTCTATTTTCAGAAGTAAAGATAATAGGATGAATCATGATAGAAAAAAAGAAAAGTACTATACTTCCTACAGAGAAAAAAAGAAAAGTACTATACTTCCTACAGAGAAGCATCCATATTTGTCTCTAAACATCATAGGAACTAGCAGAAAGAAGGAACCAATGCACTAATTACATAATTTAATGTCTAAGAGAACTTCAGTTTCTTAAGCATAACTAGGAAAGATCTTTTCACAAAGAGGACTTTGCGTAAAATTGTGAATAGCATTCTCAACATGGATCGTATACAGAACCATCAATTTGCTGGCTTTATTGCAGTCAAAGAATAATCCTTCTCCAATAAGAGAGGAAAGGTTTCCCATCACCTGGACTAATTCAAGGAAAAACTTTTGGAATATCAAAAGGAAATGGGTAAAATAGAAATAGAAGGAATGTGTATTTTGCTGAGTATTAAGTTGCAGTTTTCTGATATGTACCCAGACTTTTAAAAACCTCCATTAGGAATCTGTGCTTTACTTTTTGTTAAGTTTGGATTTAAGTGGTTAAGTCAAACTTAAATGGTGAAGTTAAGAGTTTAATCCAGGTCAGCCTGATTCCGTTCCAATACACTGCTTTTCTTGTTAACATTTCCAGTCTAGCATGCAGTCACAAGTACAAACAATTTATCTACAATATTTTTAAATACTAGGTAGGACCTTTCAATGATGGGAGGGACTAAGAACATGAGTTGACTCTTCAAAATAATAAGGGGTGGCAAATTGTAAACACTGTTTGCTTCTTTTACTGTACAAGTCTTTTTTCAACAACTTTTATAATATCAGTATTTCATGTTTATTGAAGAAAAATTACAAAAAAGTTTAGCAAAAAAAAAAAAGATAATCCCACTTGAAAAATAAGTGTTGTATGATGGTTTTGTGATATTTTAAAGTCTTTTTCAGTTAAACTTTTTTAATGATTCCCTTATTTTTTTTGTGAATATAAAAACATACATTCATTGAATAAAACACACACATCAAATAAAATTTGCCTGTAATCTGACTACCAGAGAAAACCATTAACGTCTTTTGGTGTATCAGTAGGTATGTAAATGTGCTGTTTTTTTCTGAAAGGATTGTGTGATACACATTGTTCAATAACCTGATTTTTAAGCTTAATATAGTATACATCCACCCTAATAAATACAGTACATTATATGGATATACCCATTTCCTATTAGCCGATGTTTTCAATTTTCAACTGTCAGTGCTCAAATAAAAAAAAAAGTATCTTACTAGTTCCTTAGGCTACATTTTCTACATAGAATTGGTGGGTCAAGTTATAACAATGTACGTGTTTAGACTTGATACATGCTGTCAAGTCACTTCCAGTGGTAAAAGTCTTGGAGTTAATGTCTTTCATGTTGCATTTAAAACACAGTTGCCTGCAAAAGAGATGTATCATTGTCTTGATTTCACAACTATTATCCTCCATCTGGCCTTACATTTTTTTAAGTTGTTTTTTTTTTTTTTTTAACTATTGTTTCTTTTTGAGAGACAGAGACAGAGAGTGTGAGTGGGGTGGAGGGGCAGAGAGAGAGAGAAAGGATCCGAAGCAAGCTCCAGGCTCTGAGCTGTCAGCACAGAGCTGGATGCGGGGCTTGAACCCACAACCTTGAGATCATGACCCGAGCCAAAGTCAGAGCCTCAACCAACTAAGCCACCCAGGCACCCCTGGCCTTATATTTTTTAAGTGAGCATGCTTCTATTGTGGTTCTCCCCCCAAATTCCAACCCCCCCCACCCCCAGCCCCTGATATTAGCAGAGTTTATAACTAAGTAGCAATACAATGAATTTTTTACCTACCTCATAATCCTTTTAAGTGATGGAAGAAGCATAGTGAAAAAGATTCTTCACAAATTCTGGGGATGAGACTGGGAAATAGCTTCCTTAACAGTTATCACTGTGTATCTTCTGGTTATTTTGTTAAGAAATGATAAAATGTATAGAGAATCATTTGTGATGTATCATACTTTGTAAAGGTCTTGAGATATAAATTGATTGGGAAATGTTACTCAATCTTAAAAAAAATTCTAATCTAACTTCTAGTATATTTTTCTATAGAAAATTATACACTGTGTTTGGGCTGCTACAAAAAAAAAAATCCAACAATAGATTGGATGGATTAAAAACAAACATTTATTTCTCACCATTCTGGAGGCCAGGAAGTCCAAGACGATGGTGCCAGCATATTTGGTGTTTGACAAGAGCCCATTCCTATTTCTTGCATGGCAGAAGGAGAGAGATGGGGTCTCCCCATTCACGAGGACTCCACCCCCACTAACCATCTCCCAAAGGCCCCATCACATTGGGGATTAGGTTTCAATACAATGAATGGGGGGGGGGTGTATAAATACAATTTTGAATATTTTTTCATTTAACAATATCTTTCCATGTGTTTTCCTTCAATTTTTTAAAATGAACATGTTCATACATAGAAGTTCAAAGAGTACAGTGAACACTCATGGACTTGTCAACTAGGTTCTACAGTTGTTAACATTGCTATATTGGCTTTATCTCTTTCTTTTGAAATTGTTTAAAAGTAAATTACAGACATTACACTTATCAACCATATACTTCAATTTGTATCTTCTAAGAACAAGGACATTTTAAGGAATATTATTTATAACCATAATATTTTATTTAAGAGAATCAGTGATTTCCTAATATCTAATAACTAGTCCACATCCAAGTTTCCTTGTTGTCTCATAATACCTTTTATCACTTTTTTTTTAATGTTTGTTTGTTTTTGAGAGAGACAGACAGACCATGAACAGGGGTGGGGCAGAGAGAGGGAGACAGAACTTGAAGCAGCCTCCAGGCTCTGCACTGTCAGCACAGAGCCCAACACAAGGCTCAGACTCATGAACTGTGAGATCACGACCTGAGCCGAAGTTGGATGCTCAACTGACTGAGCCACCCAGGCACCCTTATCCCTTTTTTTAAAAGATCTAATATAAATAATCAAGGTTTATGTATGGTATTAATTTGGTTATGTCTCTTTGGTATCTTAATCCAGAACAGTTCCTCCATTTTTATGTTTAATATCATTGACTTTGAAGTGTTTAGGCAGTCCAGAACACAAGGTACCCCATTTTTATATTTTTAAAACATATTCCTGTAACTTCCATATTAAGTATTTACTACTGCTTAATAGATTACCCCACTACTAAAGTGGCTTAGAACAACACACATTTATTATCTCAAATTTTCTGTGAGTGAGGAATCCTGGCCCAGCTTAGCTGGATCCTCTGTTTCACATGAAGCTGCCATCAAAGGTATCAGCCAAGGCTGAGGTCTTATCTGAAGGCTCCACTGGGGAAGGATGCAGTTTCATGCCCACTTACATGGTTAGTTTCAGTTCTTTTCAAGTCATTGGATTGAGGACTTAAATTCTTAGTTGGCTGTTGGCCAGAAGCTGCCCTCGGTTTTTCTGCTTTATAGTTTTCTCTGTCATGGTAAGTGGTTTTATCAAAGACAGCAAGGGAGAGAGTCTGCTAGCAGAACCAAAGTCAGAATATTTACAGTCTAACCACAAACATGCCACCCCCTCAACATCAAGGTATTCTATTGGTTGAAAACAAGTTGCTCAAGGGGAGTGGATTACACAAGGCTGCAAATATCAGAAAAAGGGATCACTCAGTCAGTTGAGCATGAGACTTCGGCTCAGGTCATGATCTCATCGAGTTCGAGCCCCGTGTTGGGCTCTGTGCTGACAGCTCAGAGTCTGGAGCCTACTTCAGATTCTGTGTCTCCCTCTCTCTCTGCCTGTCCCCCGCTCATGCTCTGTCTCTCTCTGTCTCAAAAATAAATATAAACACTAAAAA